GTTAAAAGATAAAGAATCACACACAAAGTGGGAGTTGTCACAGCTGCTCTTTGCTGATGACACTGTGCTCTTGGGAGATTCTGAAGAGAAGTTGCAGAGATTAGTGGATGAATTTGGTTAGGGTGTGCAAAAGAAGAAAATTAAAGGTGAATACAGGAAAGAGTAAGTTTATGAGGATAACAAAAAGATTAGGTGATGAAAGATTGAATATCAGATTGGAGGGAGAGAGTATGGAGGAGGTGAATGTATTCAGATATTTGGGAGTGGACGTGTCAGCAGATGGGTCTATGAAAGATGAGGTGAATCATAGAATTGATGAGGGAAAAAGAGTGAGTGGTGCACTTAGGAGTCTGTGGAGACAAAGAACTTTGTCCTTGGAGGCAAAGAGGGGAATGTATGAGAGTATAGTTTTACCAATGCTCTTATATGGTGTGAAGCATGGGTGATGAATGTTGCAGCGAGGAGAAGGCTGGAGGCAGTGGAGATGTCATGTCTGGAGGCAATGTGTGGTGTGAATATAATGCAGAGAATTCGTAGTTTGGAAGTTAGGAGGAGGTGCGGGATTACCAAACTGTTGTCCAGAGGGCTGAGGAAGGGTTGTTGAGGTGGTTCGGACATGTAGAGAGAGGGAGCGAAACAGAATGACTTCAAGAGTGTATCAGTCTGTAGTGGAAGGAAGGCGGGTGGGGTCGGCCTATGAAAAGGTTGGAGAGAGGGGGTAAAGGAGGTTTTGTTGTGCGAGGGGCTTGGACTTCCAGCAGTATGCATGAGCATGTTTGATAGGAGTGAATGGAGACAAATGGATTTTAAATACTTGACGTGCTGTTGGAGTGTGAGCAAGTAACATTTATGAAGGGGTTCAGGGAAACCGGCAGGCCGGACTTGAGTCCTGGAGAAGGGAAGTACAGTTGCTGCACTCTGAAGGTAGGGTGTTAATGTTCGCCGTTTAACATAATGAGCTGAAAGCATGCATTCTTCGCATCAGTGATGGAGTGCATCAGGTGAAACAAATTCTTTATGGGCGAAACAATGCTTAGGATCAGCAATGTGATAATACTAAAAAAAATAAGGTTTACTCTTCAGAGTTTAAACAATTGGCCAATTAAGGAAAACCACGTGCTGTCTGCTTAAGTCTGTGATTGCCATAAGCAAGATAACATGTAAGTGCAGTCATACAAAAATCGAGAATGGAACTTCAAAATGGGAGCCAAAAATATTACAGATTTAGCTTTTGTTCACATGTAATAATGATATCAAATTCAGCTAAAAGGCAGTGAAAATGCACCTAGAAATGTTTTTAAAATAATGCCAAACTTATGGTTCTCAACCTGAATTTGATTTCTCCTAATTAAGTCATACTGAAGCATTTAATACCATTAATTTTTCGAATAGATTGTGGAGGATAAGTAAACCCTGGAATCCTGTGGCATATCCACTGCATGTGAGAAATACTAACGAAGCGGATATTCAGACAAATGCTCACAATCCCCCAAGAAAGGTTGGGTGACTAGAGGTATGGACCAACAATAGTGTGCTGGACCCGAGAACATTAAGCCCTCTCACAGTGGCACGTATGTAGCACGTTTCAAAAGAACCCATTCGTATATTAAAATGTCGTACAGTAAACCCTGATATATGGACACTAATATGCTGATTCAATGTCAGCTCATCAGTAAGTTAAAATTCGCAGCAAAAAAAAAAAAAAAGACCTGTAGTATGTAGTCGTTGAAATATCAAGCCAACCTCACAAACGAGGCGCACGGGGGCTTTGACCCCCAAGCTTCGTCAAAAACTCCAAGTGTTCTTAACAAAGGTCTAGGTCAGATGATGACCCATCACTGGAGGTTTTGGTCATCTGACTGAGGCCATCCACTGGCTTACCCATTCACCCCTTCAAAAATTATGGTCAGAGTTATAACCATTTAGTATTGTACTCTCAGTTTACAGTTATATTACAAAAAACATTGAAAATTAAGGAGCTAAAATTTATATAGTATACTTTGTTCATTATTTTAAAAATTCATTATACTGAGGGCTTACTGTACACCATCTTGCATTGGTTCACATAATTAAAAATCTGAAAAAGAAAAGTTGCTCATGCATGAAAATTTTTCCATTCAGAGATTTATATGAACAGGAAAAAGCTTACTGCTGACTCTGGCTCAATACTGTACATGATGTCAAGGCCCTCTGAATGTCAAACAGACAAAAGAATCACATGTCAGCTGATAAAACATACAAATGACTCACATCCATCAATCACTCAGTAGTCACTTCATTAGTCAACAAATGACAAGGAATTTACAATTCCTCCTTGTCTATATTATAAACAAGAAAATTGTATAGTGAAATATACAATGGCTTCAGCTGATATAGTGTATGAGTGGTGTCAGATGATATAGTGTATGAGTGGTGTCAGCAATAAGCTACATAACTATCTCCAAACACTTCTACATCAACAAGTAGGAGAAACAAAAATTTAAGGTAGGGTAAAACTCTTTCTTGTTACTTTTTAAAATATTTGATGAGATTGCATATTAAATTTATAAAAGTTACTGGCATCATGCCCATTTTCTTTGGAAGGAAGAGAACGTATACCGTATAGCACGCCAGCGTTGAACACCAACTTTCTCAGGCCTTGTTAATTAAGTTTATTTACTGAATAACTTTTTATTCAGGATTTGTGTACAATAAAAATAAATTTTCTAGGTAGTAGGTTGGAAGACAGCAACCACCCAAGGAGGTACTCCCATCCTGCCAAGTGAGTGTAAAACAAAAGCCTGTAATTGTTTTACATGATGGTAGGATTGCCGGTGTCTAATTTTCTGTCTCATAAACATGCAAGGTTTCAGGTATGTCTTGCTACTTCTACTTACACTTAGGTCACACTACACATACATGTACAAGCACATATATACACACCCCTCTGGGTTTTCTTCTATTTTCTTTCTAGTTCTTATTCTTGTTTATTTCCTCTTATCTCCATGGGGAAGTGGAACAGAATTCTTCCTCCGTAAGCCATGCGTGTTGTAAGAGGCGACTAAAATGCCAGGAGCAAGGGGCTAGTAACCTCTTCTCCTGTATATATTACTAAATGTAAAAGGAGAAACTTTCATTTTTCCTTTTGGGCCACCCCGCCTCGGTGGGATACGGCCGGTGTGTTGAAAGAAAGAAAGAATATACAGGTAGTAGGTTGGTAGACAGCAACCACCCAGGAAAGTACACCTAAGAGAAAAATGGAGCGAAAACAGAATGACTTCAAGAGTTATCAGTCTGTAGGAAGGAAGGCGGGTAGGGATCGACCTAGGAAAGGTTGGAGAGAGGGGTAAAGGGTTTTTGTAGTGCAGGCTTGGACTTCCTCAGGTATGCGTGAGCGTGTTTGATAGGAGTGAATGGAGACAAATGGTATTTTAATACTTGACGTGCTGTTGGAGTGTGAGCAAAGTAACATTTATGAAGGGGTTCAGGGAAACCGGCAGGCCGGACTTGAGTCCTGGAGATGGGAAGTACAGTGCCTGCACTCTGAAGGAGGGGTGTTAATGTTGCAGTTTAAAAACTGTGGTGTAGGGCACCCTTCTGGCAAGAAAAGTGATGGAGTGAATGATGGTGAAAGTTTTTCTTTTTCGGGCCACCCTGCCTTGGTGGGAATCGGCCAGTGTGATAAAAATAAAAAAAATAAACACACCCCTCCGGGTTTTCTTCTATTTTCTTACTAGTTCTTGCTCTTGTTTATTTCCTCTTACCTCCATGGGGAAGTGGAAGAGAATTCTTCCTCCGTAAGCCATGAGTGTTGTAAGAGACGGCTAAAATGCCAGGAGCAAGGGGCTAGTAACCCCTTCTCCTGTATATACACTAAATGTAAAAGGAGAAACTTTTGTTTTTCCTTTTGGGCCACCCTGCCTCGGTGGGATACGGCCGGTGTGTTGAAAGAAAGAAAGAAGAAAGATAAATTTCTAGGTCAACAGGCAATGACCTCATCATTTCTGACTAGATATCATTAACCTAATCCAATTTTTCCCATATATTATTCACATTACAGAGTGCAAAATTACAAATAACATCAATTTCAGGAATGTTACTCTTGCTTTAGGTAAGGTTTTAACATATTAAATCATACATCAGGACAAATTAAATTTACAATTTATTTACTGTATAAGATTTCTACTGCCTTCCTTCTCTTTATTGTAACATTCAAAGACCATGCTTCACACCTATACACAAGAGATGGTCCCACTATACATTGAAGCATTTGTAGTAGTGCATCCACTGACTAGCTTCACTCTTTCCACAATCCTGCAACTTTCTTTCTGTGTTCTATTCTTTGTTCTACATCACTCACAGAAGTATCTGTTGAAACATCTACTCTTAAGTTTCAAAATACAGTACATTTACTACCTCTACTCACATATATCAGTGAATCAGGCAGTTACTTGGGCTCACTGCACAGCCAGCTGCATAGAAGAGCATGCCACACTGCTGAGCTTAACTTTGATTGCTAGAACATATCTTACTCCACTTAAAAATGTATATTTTTTCCTTGTTTTGTAAGAGCTAATTTTTGATGTTTGGAATATACCCTATGTTTTTCATATGATACTCACTTTAAGTGGAACTTTTTTTACAGTACTGTTAGGAATGGTCCCTGCTATTATTTATTTGTGTTGAATGTTTTGTTGATGCTATTATTTTAAATTTTTATTATTCAGTGCTCTTAGGTATGATTTGTATTTATTTTTATTGCCAAGAATGCCAGGTGATTTTCCAGGTCAAAGTTCTCTTCAAATCTTACAACTTCCTTCCTTGCACACCGAGTTTATTATATGTATGGCACATATTACTGCTGCCTCTGAGATAAACATTTTCCAGTGAATGACAAAGACCACATTGACAAATGAATGCCTACCTAAGAATAATATTACTACAAATACTATGTAATTTTTTTAAATAATTTTTATTGTCAGTGCTTATGCTTTTAGCCAATGAGGAATTTAAAGTCTTACCATAGGAATCCTTCAAACAATAGGTGTTGAATGCTCTGCAGTTTACAAGTGGAGAGAGAGGATATATGTCTGGCAGTGTCTCCTCTTGTAAAGATTTTATTTCTGCATTATCTGCAAGCTGGGGCAATGGGGTCAGAGATGACACGATGAAAGCTGCTTCGTGATTTATCTGCATCAGGCTGTCTGTTAAATGAAGGGAACATTATGTAGTATTATTTTTCTTGCTAAACCCATCCAAAAGTACCAGTGATGTCCCTTCCTGAGAGGGATGGCATAGACAGTCTTCTTGCCACATGAATATTTTCCAAAGTAATGACATTTAAAAAAGAAAACACTTTGAAAAATTGCTAAACAAATTTAATTAAGAAAATGAATAGTGCTTCAGGAAGTGTATACAGTACACAAGGCGTGAAATTATCCATAGCAATTTAAAAAAAATAATTCTTAGGATGGTTAGGATTTTGAATTTGAGCTGCCCAGTATTGAGGCGATCCTATTTAAGAACATAAGACGACCGACTTATTAAAAAAAAAAAAACAAAGGGACACTGCAGCAGGGCTACTGGCCCAATTCAGTCAGGTCCAACTCATCTTCCACACCCACTCATGTATTTGTCTAACCTATATTTAAACCAACACAATGTTTTAACTTCAATAACATTACTTGGGAGTTTGTTCCACTCATCCACAGCTCAACTGCCAAACCAGTGCTTTCCTATATCCTTTCTAAATCTAAATTTTCCAACTTGAAACTATTGCCGCAAGTCCTGTCTTGGATTATATAATTTTAGCATGTTATTTACATTCACTTTATTTATTAGTATTTACCATTTATACACCTTAATCATATCCCCCTAATTCTATGCCTTTCTAGAGAGTGCAGATTCAGGACCCTAAGTCTATCCTCATAGGAGAGATATTTGATACATGAGATCAATTTTGTCATCCTTCTTTGTACATTTTCCAGTGCATTTATATCCATTCTGTAATACAGTGACCAGAACTGTGCAGCATAATCTAAATGAGGCCTAATTAACAATATATAGAGTTGAAGAATGACCTGAGGACTTCTGTTATTTATACTTCTTGATATGAATCCAAGAATTCTATTTGCTTTATTGCGAACACTTATACATCACTGTTCTGGCTTTAGATTACTGCTAACCAGAATTCCTAAATCTTTCTCGCAATCAGTGATATTAAGATCTACCTTATTCAGTTTATAAGTGTCATGGTTATTTTTCTTTCCAGCACAAAGAATTTTGCATTTGTCTATATTAAACTGTATCTGCCACTTCTCTGACCATTGTATCAGTCTATTCAGATCTTCCTGCAGCACTCTAGTGTCCCTGTCAGCCTATTTTGGTGTTGTTGACAAACTTTGCTTATGTCGCTATTTATTCCCTCACCTATGTTGTTTATGTAAATTGTAAACAACAAGGGGCCAAACAATGACCCCTGTAGAACACCGCTTGTGACATGTCCCCACTCTGATTTCTCCCCGTTTATGCAAACTCTCTGTTGACTATTCAACCATGCCTCTATCCAACAAAAAAAATTTCTCCTATTCCGTGTGCTTCTACTTTCTTCAATAACCTCCGATGTAAAACTCTGTTAAAAGTCTTACTGAAATTCATATACACAATATATCATATTCATTACCATGGTCTACCTCCTCAAATACTTCAGTGAAAAAAGCTAGTAAATTCATAAGGCAGGAATTCCCCTTTGGAAAACTGTGCTGCATAGGTAGTAGGTTGGTAGACAGCCACCGCCCAGGGAAGTACTACAGTCCTGCCAAGTGAGTAAAACAAAAGCCTGTCATTGTTTTACATGATGGTAGGATTGCTGGTGTCTTTTTTCTGTCTCATAAACATGCAAGATTTCAGGTACGTCTTGCTACTACTTCTTACATTTAGGTCACACTACACATACATGTACAAGCATATATGTACACACCCCTCTGGGTTTTCTTCTATTTTCTTTCTAGTTCTTGTTTATTTTCTCTTATCTCCATGGAAAAGTGGAACAGAATTCTTCCTCCGTAAGCAATGCGTGTTGTAAGAGGCGACTAAAATGCTGGGAGCAAGGGGCTAGTAACCCCTTCTTCTGTACAAATTACTAAATTTAAAAAGAAAAACTCTTGTTTTTCTTTTTATGCCACCCTACCTTGGTGGGATACGGCCAGTTTGTTGAAAAAAAAAAAATGCAAGATTTCAGGTACGTCTTGCTACTTCTACCTACACTTGGGTCACACTACACATGCATGTACAAGCATATATATACACACCCCTCTGGGTTTTCTTCTATTTACTTACTAGCTCTTACTCTTGTTTATTTCTTATCTCCGTGGGGAAGTGGAACGGAATTCTTCCTCCGTAAGCCATGCGTGTTGTAAGAGGCGACTAAAATGCTGGGAGCAAGGGGCTAGTAACCCCTTCTCCTGTATACATTACTAAAGTTAAAAAGAAAAACTTTTCTTTTTCTTTTTGGGCCACCCTGCTTCGGTGGGATACGGCCAGTTTGTTGAAAGAAGAAGAAGAAAAAAAGAAACTTTCGTTTTTCCTTCTGGGCCACCCTGCCTCAGTGGGATATGGCCAGTGTGTCGAAAGAAAGATATATACACACTCCTTGGGATTTTCTTTCTTATTAGTTCTTGTTTATTTCCTCTTACATCCATGGGGAAGTGGAACAGCATTCTTCCTACATAAGCCATGTGTGTCATAAGAGGTGACTAACATGCTGGGAGCAAGGGGCTAGTAACCCCTTTTCCTGTATACATTACTAAAGTAAAAAGAGAAACTGTTATTTTTCTTTCTGAGCCACCCGGCCTCAGTGGGATAAGGCCAGTTGGTTGAAAGAAGAAGAAAACTGTGCTGAGAATCATTAATCAATTTATGTCTCTTAAGGTGACTTTGAATAGCTTTGGCAATTATTGATTTCATCACTTTTCCCGCAATGGAGGTTAGGCTTATTGGTGTATCATTCAAAGCTTAGGACCTGTCTCTTGCTTTGCAGGTAGGTATCACATTTGCCATTTTCCACTTATCAGGCACTATACCAGTTTGTAGTGATATACTGAATAGACTAGCCAAAGGTTTGCTAAGCTCCTCCTTACATTCCTTTAAAACCCTTGCGAAAAATTCATCAGGGCCCAGGGATGTGTTGGGTTTTAATTTATCTATTTGTCTGAGAACCATGTCACTAGTGACTCTGATCATGCATAACTTTTTTTTGTCCTGTTCTATGTAATTTATTATTACTGCCATTTCACTGGTATCTTCATGCGTAAAAACTGAAAGGAAGTAAGTGTTAAAAGTTCAACACATTTATTTTTCATTGTCAGTGAGCTGACCTGAGTAGCTTTTGAGTGGGCCTATCTTGTCCCTAATCTTACTCCTACATACCTGAAAGAAACCCTTTGGGTTAATCTTCGAATCCTTTGTGACTTTAACCTCATAATCTCTTTCTGATTTTCTTATTCCCTTTTTTTATTCACTTTTTAATGAATATATTGATTTCTTAACTGCTCGTCTTTCCTTTAGATTTGCCTGTTTATAATGAGCTTAATCAACTTAATACTGACATTAAGGAAGTGAAGGAAATAAAAAAAAAAGGCACAAGAAAAAAATAAGGACAAGTGCCAAAATAGATAAAGTTCTTGAGGAGATGGAAAAAATGTAATTGACAACTGAAACTACAATAACTGAATCAATGTACAGGAATGAAGCCAATCTACTTAATTAAAAAGGTATGATCTGCATAGTTTTTAATTTCCTTATTCCTGTTGTCTGTCAAATAAAACTTTTCTAAGCGACAAAGACTTTTCTATAAAAACAGAATGACATTGGTTAGCAAAGAATCAGTGCCTAGATGAGGGAGGGGTTGACAAAGCGATCTATTATAACTACATGTACTGTAATCAAACTTTATATATAAAGGGATAGATTAGCCAAATTAGAAGATAGATTTAGGCATGGGGAAGTGGAAAAGAATTCTTCCTCCGTAAGCCATGCGTGTCGTTAGAGGCGACTAAAATGCCAGGAGCAAGGGACTAGTAACCCCTTCTCCTGTATAAATTACTAAATTTAAAAAGAAAATCTTTCATTTCCTTTTTAGGTAACCCTGCCATTGTGGGATATGACTGATTAGTTGAAATAAAAAAAAAATTAGGCAGAAAAGGCAGAGATGAGACAGGAGATATACCTGAGTGTTTCAATGTGACTTGTGTTAAGGTGTCTTCAACAAGTTGTCTCTCCAGTGCTCCAGGTACTTGTTGGTCAAGGAGAAGCAGAAGCTGGTATGTCAGAGTTTTACTGTGTAAGAAAAAATTGTATATTAACCCTTAAACTGTCGAAACGTAGATCTACGTTCATGTGCGTAGCACTCCAAACTTTCTATTTTGCATGCTTTCTTACGTAAAAAAATGTAGAGCTACGTTCTGAATGCTACGCACGTAAATGTAGATCTACGTTTGGACAGTTTAAGGGTTAACAATGCCATATTATCAAAACTGTCCTGCTAATTTCCCTTAGTCATATCAATGGACATACCTACCTGTTGGAAAACTATACATGTGTAACAATTATGATTTAATTAGTATGATTCAGTGTAATTTGTAGAATATGTACTATGCTACTGTGCAATAATAAGTGACCTTAAATTTTATATGCATCAAACATCACACAATCCCAATAAAGATCAAAGGGATTTCAAAATTTGAAAATTCTAGATCACATTGTAACAAATGGCCTCTATAAAAAAATGGAGTATGAATACAAAAATTTGTTTATAAAATAAGTGTTATACAAGATTTACCATGGAAGGATTTTATATGCAACTTACTGCTTTCGTCCAAATGGTATGCCATACTCCCGCCTTTCATTCCACCCTGGTCTGTCCATATTTATTACCTTTGGTAATTTAGCTTGAAATGAATCAAGTAAGTGTGCATGGAAGATGGCCCTGTAAATGAAAACGCATCAATGTATGAAAAAAAAT